TACACGTACTGTCGAGGTACGCATTGCAGGTCGTGGATGCGGCGTTGGTGATGACGCCGCCAAAGACAACGGTCGTGAAGGCGACGCAGACAGGGCCGAGTGGGTATAAAAGTAGGATCGGTGCCCAGTATTTGTTTTTGGCCGTGACGAGCGCGTGCTGCTGGCGAATGGCTTCATCTTCGGGGCTGAGCTACGTGCGAGATTTGAATTCGCACTCGAATCGGTGTGTTTGGATCCGTGCAGTACCTGTTTCTTGGCCTGGAGCTTCTTGCGAAGTCGCTCCTTCTCGGCCTCCTCGACCTCTTGGTCGTCGAGCACGTACATGGAAACGGACCCGGAAACGGCTTTTGCTACCATCGCGAATGCTGCACCTTGGTTCCAGTCGTTGCAATAGGACTCACTCCATTTTCTTGGCAGGGTGCGAATCGAGAGTGCACACGTGAGTCTGGCGCTGACATAAACCGACACTATATACCTTTCTCGCGAGCGTCGGAGGAATACAAAAGCACCTTCATGTCGACCACGACGATTTGTACTGTCTACGCAGACGACGTCGCTAGCATATACTAAACTACGAGTATAGTATAATACATACCGGTATACAGTTTGCAGCTGCAAGATCTACTACTAGAACGACGAGTTCTTGTTGCTGCATGGTGCTGGAAGCGATAAACGTATCGACGCCTGTTCAGACAGCAGTCGCCACCAAAGCGACTGGGGGCTCGTCGGTGGCGAAGCAGTCGTCGGCCGTAGCTACCGGCGCATGACGATCGGCAAGGCGCTCCTTGTCAAGAGTAGGTTCTTGTTGGTGTGTCCTTGGCCCAACGGCCCAGCTCCATACCTGCGTGCAGGGCCACCGCCGACATGGATCTTGTACGAGCCGCCTGCTCTTGTCGACGCGCACCTTGTATTGCGTCAGTTGGAGCAAGCTGCAAGGCGTTCGGAGATGGATGCTTCAAGGTGGAAAGGGCGGGAACCTCGCCGGTCGTCCGGATACCGCCCATCCCAGCATACAAATGTCAAGAGACGCGAGGCGGCGAAGGAATCATCCGGATACACGCGTCGTGGCAGCACCGCAGAAAGCACAGAAAGGCGTTGACATGTGAGTTTGATGTGGTTGAGTTTGAGATCTTGTGGCAAGCGACCGCAGTTGCAGTTTTGCGTCCGACCGCGTACATGAGCAGTGCGAAGCGCCCAGCTGCGGCGCCGACGACCATATCGAACCTCGAAGGCGCCCTCTTGGGCATCACGATGTGCTTGCAGACGCCGGAAGAGGTCCTCGTCTTCCTCGACGCCGTCGACTCGCCCGCGCTCTGCAAGCCGCTGGCGGCGCTTCTGCGGCTGCTCCGCGATCCGCGCAGCGCGTTCCAAAATGGCTCGCTCGACGGCAAAGACGACTTGCTCTCGTACGTGTGGCCTTGCGTGAAACTCAACTGTGTTCGGCCCAAAGCCACTGGACTCGTCGTCGATGCCATGGCCGCGTTCCCGGCCATGCGACTTTGCCGGGACGTGTACATGTGGCAGCCCCATTCGGAGAGCAATCTGGACATGTTCATGTGGCTCGTTGCGACGTGGGGCCACAAGCTCCAGGCCATCACGATCTTGTCCCTCCGCGACGACAAACACTTGGAGCCGCTCTGCAACGCGCTTCGGCAGTGCACCGGCCTCGATGCGTTTACTGTGGCCACGGACATTATGGATTATGTACTCAACTACCCGACACGCGATGGGCCCAACTACTCTGCGGAGCTCATTGCCGCCGTCACGACGCCAAACCACCACGTTCGTCGCATGAGGATCGTGTCCTATCTCGCCGAGCGCGACTGGGTCGAGATTCTCGGGCCGTGGCTTGCGTCGCCACACGCTCAACACCTCCGGTTTCAGCACACGAGCGCTCGCAGCGACGACAACATCCGTCGCCTGGTCGTTGCCGCGCGCTTCCTCTCGAGTCTTGACCTCGACATTGCGCAAGCCGGTGGCCTTCCGCCCATCGATGGCGATGGCCAAGCGCGGTTTGAGAACCTCTCGGCCCTGCGCGTCCAAGTGCGCGAAAGTGACGCACCCTTCGTCCAGGATCTCCTCCAGCGCCTCGATCCCCGCCGTCTGACGCACCTCGCGATCTCTTGCGAGAGCGACTTTAGCTACGTGCTGGACGCGCTCCCACGCTACACTGCGCTGCAAGAGCTCGAGTTTGACCAAGGTCGCTTCCATCACGTCGCGTCGTTGCCGCTCTCGGGCATGCCAGCGTTGCGATCGGCCATTTTTTCCAATGTGGACCTCTCTGACCAAGCCGTCGACGCACTCGTGCGCCTCTTCGCGGACGCACCTGCGCTCGTGAAGCTTATCTGGAATACCTCGGATGAGACCGCGTACGTCCGCGCCGCCATCGCCCGCTCGCTCCGCCACTGGATCAATCACGGCGTGCGCGATATTCAGCTCGACTTCTGCCACATGGCCAAGAACTCGGAGCTTGCGGCCGGCCTCTGCAATGCGGCAAGCCCGCTAGGCGCCACTGTCAGCTTGGCCCCCAACAAAATTGCTCCTCTGCTCAAAGCCCTTGCGACGTGCGCTGGCGTCACGCTGCAGCGGTCCGTTGACACGCGACCGCAAGACAGTTTCCCCCTCGCAATCGAGGCTATCGTTCGCAACCTTGCCATTGAACGGCATCGTGATTCTTGGCGTGTCCGCAGCCCGCCGTATCGTGCGTAGGCTTTTTCATATGTTTCGTAATTTCCCAATTGGCGTTGTCCGTGCATTCATACTCTGCATCCTTGCGCTCTGCGTTAAAGCCTCAATGCTCGCACACCGGTTTAGTACGCTTCTGGTAGTTGGCACGATCATCCGACCACTGCCTCACCGCGATCAACCAGCGACATCCACACCTTGGGGACTGTCATATTGAGCCACGTACGACGAGGCTTCTTCATTGCAAGACGGATCAAGACGCATACAATGTGCGCAGCGTGCAGAGCACTTGGGCCAACGGCGCGTCCCGGTTGCAAATCGCCTCCTTGTACATTTGCTTGAAGACGCTGCTGCGCGCTTTGACGCTCTTGGACGCACACGGCGCGCGCACGAGGCGGAGGAGGTAGTTCTGGACGCCCTCGAGGATGCTCGGAGCGACAGTCGCCAAGGTCGTCCGGTCGTCGAGCGACAAGCGGTGGCTCTTCGAGTACGCTTCGTACGTGTTGAGGAGCACGAGCAGTGCATGTTCAATGTCTTCGGCCTACGACCTCACTCAACGACGACTTGAGAGACAAGAGGAAAACTTCTACCTTGTCCGAGGCCGCATACAACGCTGCGAGTTCTTGGTGGATGATGACAAAGGTCTTGCCGACGTCGACAACGCCAAAGTACAAGAGGGCCTTCTCGTAGTGGCGTCGCGCCAGCTCCATCTTGGTGCGGGTCGTCGCGTCGAGCTTTCCGACCAGCTGCCGGCTGTAGAAGGACGCCATTTGGTAGTGCGTCGAGGCCACTTGGCGCGCGTCGTTGATCTCGAGGTACAGATGCAGCGCCTTGTTGAACTTGGCAGCGATATTCGCCTCCACATCACTGTGCACGGGTGCGTTCAAGCTCAAGCGCACGGCCCAGACGAGGTACGTGAGCGCGAGCTCGCCCGTGACTTTGGCGTGGACCTCGTTCGCGCGCGACGACTTCAAGAGTGCGTGGGCTTTGGTGCAGAGACCGATCGCCTTGGCGTAGTGCTCGTCCTGGCGGCCATCCGCGTCGGCCAAAATCTTGTGCAAGTTGGCCAAGTTGGCACACAGCAGCGCCGCGTTCGCTCCATCTACGCACGTGATCATCATCGTTGAGGCCACCGAGATGACGTTCTACCTTCGATGGCTTCAAAGAGAAGACTGCCGCCTTCAAACCACAGGTAGGCTTGCTGCAAGTCCTTACGCGCCAGGAAGGACTTGCCTCTCTCGTTCGCGGCGTTCCCGAGCTTCTTCATGAGCACACTACGCTCAGAACGCTAAGATGCGAGCGCATACAAGGCATCACTTACAAGTAGTGTTCGGCGTTGACGGGCGGCGAGAGCGCGCGCAGGTAGGCAAAAAACGACAGGTTCGTCGTCGCGTTCAGAAGCGGTCGGTGGGTTTCCACGAGCGCACCAAAGACCGTCGGTGCAAAGGCCTGCTGCAGGAAGGTCACGGAAGACGGCCGAACCGCCGACGTAAGGAGTTGGTAGGTGAGCGCGACGGCGGGTGCGAGATCGCCGAGGCGCTGGCTGCTCGCGAGGTCGCCAAGGGCCTCGAGCACATGTGCGCGGACCTCAAGCACGCTGTAGAGCGGCTTGAGGAACGTTTTCGACTTGGCGTGGC